GAGAGAGATGAGAAATTATATACTTAATCTTTTTGTACATACATATATTGATTTACCTGTCAATATATCTACTGTGTATATCTGTAATCCAACATAATATACTTATAATTAAACTTTCATGTAAGCTCAAGAACTAATTTCACTGTAATTTGATTGTAATATCCTAAACCATCCTAAAGTACTTGTTACCGACTACTGCATAGTAATAACAAACTAGATCAGAAAAGCTGTACTAAAGTCAGAATAAGGTAATTATGAAACAGATTAGATAGCAACAATTGAAGATAATGAGTGATAAAGTACAAGGAAGGCAGTTTCCTTAAAGAATGATAATCTGTTTATAAAAAAAAAATAATAAAATAAAAGTTTCCTTGACCCCTACAGACGGGATGGCCAACAACTGCCTTTGTCTGATATACATTACTAAAGAAAAGAAAAAGTATTCTGCTTTCTTGTGATCCTTGGGTGACAACTATATGTTAATCATTTTTTTCTACCTCTATCTGACCTCTAGTGTTATAACTTGTATGATAAAAAGAGAAATAAATACTGTTGCCACTGGTCTGAGTGAGGGCCATGAACTTTTTCAATAGAATGAAGATTATGTAATAATGATTTCAATAAGAATACATTATGGACAAACATTAGGCTGGCAGGTTAGGAAAAAAGATCATATTTCACAACATACTGGCTACCTGCCCAAACGAATGTCAAAATTTGGAGATTCTTGTGCAGACTGGATAGGAGAGAGGTATCATTTTTGTCTACTTTAATAGCAATTATTTCTGCATAAATCCTGCTTATGGGGATAGTTTTTTAAACCAAGTTTTAACATGTTTTATCCATCTACAGTACTCATATTTCAGAAAACCAATTATTATATTTCCTCCCTTATGAGCTAATTGAAGATTTTTTTTTTTTTTTTTCAAAATCACAGAGCAAAGGATAAGTTTCATGGTATAATATGTGTCAGTAAAAGCTACATAATATTCACTATAGAAAATAATATCAATAATTTAGTCTTACATATGAAATTTGATCAAGATGCCTGCAATGTATATCACCTATGCATTATAACTCAGAATGATGAAATTTTATTAATGGAAATCTGACACTCTTTTAAATGAATAGCTATTTTTAAAGTTAAAGTGTCTGCTTTATCATTTTCCCCTAACCTGTAATGGAGAATACCTGAAAATTGCTATAATTACATATGACACATCTTGGTAGTATTCCTATATTCTTTTCCTGGTTTATTAAAGCTACTTGGGTCTCGTTATTTTTCCAAACTCTGAGCACACTTTACATACCATCATCATATACTGTACAGTACTATACAGAAAAGACGACAAAAGTTATTTGACCTATCAGTTTTACGTGTCTTCACTACAGATTCTGAGTCTTTGATCTTTCCTGTCCTGTGTGCATCAGAAGTTACGAATTTTGTGGTCCTATAGTGGCTAATGCTCTATATTATTATTACTATCAAAATTTACACAAATGTGAAAAAAGGGCAAGGGGGAAATAGGTAAAAATTAAAAACAGACACTACAAAATAGGCAAATCAATAATAAAAACATGTCAACATGCTTTATGGTCAAATCAAGTAGAAATAACAAAAAACTGCAATAACAATACAACCTACACTATTTACTTAGTCTTATAGAGCATCTCTTGAATCCTTCACTTTACTTTTTCCCTTAATTACACTACACATTAGGAATTGCAATCAAACATATTACTTTAGAAATATTTTAATTCTTTGATAAAATATTTTTGCACAAAAATAGACACATATTGGTAAATTACCCATTTCATACATGTGATATATCAGCATTAAGTACATAATAATGCTTATCAAAGATATAACTCAGCCCAGTTATTAGCTGCATCTTTTTTTACAATCCAGATACCACACAAATGACTTTAGAAATATATATGTGAAAAATAGTAAAGTAAATATATATACATATACACATACACACACACAGGGACGTATGCATGAACACACTATTTTTTTAAACCGGCTACAGCAAACCTATTGATATATACAATCACTACAAATCCAATCTTTTATACAGTGCAAACCTTCTTTCCTAGCAATAACAACACAGTTGTTATATATTGGTATACTAATTCCTTAATGAGCATTTTATTGTCCTTTCTTTTCTGTAATACATCTTCAAATGCACTGACAATAGGTCCGATATTCTAAACCAAAACATGTATTATAATCAAATACATATTTAGTCTCTTTTCTTCTTTCTATACAATACATACCTGGAAGCACATACTGATGGAAATAAGGTATTATCATTTAATGGTGATTCCAAATTATGGGTCAACATAATTCAAGTTAGCTCATTCAACTACCTTTCGTTATCCCTAATGCAAAAATATATATCTCACGTCTCAAAGGAATCTGTCTTCCTTGGAAAAATTCCATAGGACGGCATGTTCCAAGATACCTTGCTTCAAGTTGTATTTGTCTTAATGAGTA